GAGACTCCAACTCAAAAAAAAAAAAAAAAACAAGAACAATGATCCAATCTTTCCTATTTGAAGTAAAACCTGAAGACTTTTTTTTGTTGTTGTTTCTAGTAACCCAAGTAACATGGTGAATAGAGCCAAAAAAAATAAATAAAAGGCTGGTTTTATAAGTGTTACAAAACTGAAAAAAGGTAAGGATATACCCTTGCACTAAAGAACTGAAAAACTATTAGTATTAGATGAGCCTCAGGCTGTGAATTTAATATCCCATATATGTTAAACTTACAAATTCCAAGGCAAATTTGAAACAAGAAATCAAAAAAAATTTCCAACAGAATTCATCATTAAAAAATCTTAGTGTTTCTCATTACCTTAAAAAAAAATTAACTCCACATTCCCCTCCAGCTTCTCTGCTTCTCTTAAAACATCTTATCTGCAGTTGCTGCCTCCACTTTCTCATATCCCATTTTTCCTTTAAGCCACTCCAGTCTTGTTTCCATCCCCATCCTCTGCACTAAAAATAATAACAAAATTATGTAATAAAATTCCTAGTTTTATGTCTCAACCTACCAGACCTCAGAGGAGCATTTGAAAACACTGACTATGTCCTGTCTCTTCACGACATTCTTCTCTTGGCTTAAGGCAGACACTTCCCTGGTTTTCCTCTTGCCCCACTAGCCACTCCCTCCTCAGTTTCCCTTCCCAACTCCTCTTCTTCTGGACCTCAAAACGTTGGAGTACCCCAGGGTTCATGGCAGGGCCCTCGAAGTCTATTACACTCCTATGCTACTTTATTTTACCCAATCGCATAGCTTTAAATCCCATTAATACACAGAGAATTCCCAAATGTACATACATGGCCCTGATACCTCTCCTAAGCAACACATTTATATATCCTACTAACTGGCATCTTTACTTATATGTCTTCATAGACATTTCACATTAAACACAGCAAATACAGAATTCTTGATTGTTTATTCTTCCCAAAAGTGTTCATCTTCCACAGATCCCCATTTCAGTAAATCATCCATTTAGTGCTTAAGATAAAAAAAACCCTAGTCATCACCCTTGATTCCTTTCTTTCACTATCCATAACCATTCCATCCAGTCATATCTATCTACTCTCTGTCCCTAACTACCTACCTCCAGTTCCTCTCCCTCTCCTTTTCCCTTTTCTTCGCTGACTTCATTTTCTACTACACTTGTCTTATCTCACTGTGCTTCACTTAAACTGGCTGCAGTAGACTAAATAATAGCCACCATACATACCAAATCCTAATCCCTGGAACTTATAAATGGTACCTTATTTGAAAAGGGGTCATAGCAGATGAAATTAAGAATTTTGAGATGAGACTACCCTGGATTATCTGAGTGAGTTCTAAATGCCAACACAAGGGTCCTTATAACAGAAGGCAAAGGGAATAACAAAGACACAGAAGAAAGGGTCATATGAAGATGAGCAGACAGAAAGGAAACCACAAGCCAAGAAATGCCTTGAGCCCCCAGAAGCTATAAGTAAATATTCTGTCTTAGAGCCTTCAGAGGGAGGGCAGCTCTTCTAACACCTTGATTTCTAATTTCTAGCTTCCAGAACTGTGAGAATAAATATCTGTTGCTTTAAGTTACCCAGTTTGTGGTAATTTCTTACAGCAGCCATGGCCTTCTTCCTGTTACCTTAAATCCCCAAATGTGTTCCATCCTCAGAATCTTTGCATATGATGTCCTGTTGGGACTCCTTCAAGTATGAGTCATTATCTCAGAGAAGCCATCTCCTTCCACCTGATCTAAATTCACCCCACACCAGTCACACTCACATTTCCCTAATTTTTTCACTATTTATAATTATTTGGTTTCCAAAAGTGTTTTGCTGTCTCTCACAGTAAAATACAATGTCTATGATAGCAAGCACCTTATTATGTCCACTACTATCTCCAGCACCTAGTAGGACTAAAAAATATGCTGAATAAGTCACAGGTCTTGTCATTCGCTTATTTCCTAGAATATTTAGCCATAAGTTATTTATATTCTCTTAAACTATCCAAATGAACCAATTCAGACATTTCAAAATAATTAACACATAAGAGTTTTCCTATGCAGTTACAAATCATTTTCATTTTGATGAACACATTTCTTTTCACCTGTACTCTTATTATTTTCAATTCTGGATTATATATATGCCTATTTTCTTATCTAAACAATTTTTAGTTTGCTACTACTGCTTAATAAAATTGTAATTGTGGAGAAACTAATTATCTCAAGCTGTTTCCACTGTAACCCCAAGAGCTTTTGCCTTCTGAAATGTACCACCACACTGGCAAATAGGTCAAATAGAAGTGATCACTACATAGACTTACTCCCATGGTCAGCTAAGAAGCACTACAGCTAGTAAGTAAGTACATGTATCTCACACACTTACCCCACCCATCCATTCTAACACTAATCCCAATAAGCCTGCAAGCAATATGCAAGTGCCTAACCACTGAGACTTCTGCACTATGTAAGTTCTAGATTATCAAAATTTTCTTAACCTCACACCTTTTATTGTTCTATCCCTAGGTTGTACACTTACTTCAAAATCTAGAATTGGTAAATTCTACCAAAAACTCTACCAATTCTACCACAAGAGTGACCTATTAGTTCAAAATTATAAAAGTGTGTGTCAACATTAAGTTTCTAAATAAAGCTCCTGAGAAGCACTTAGAAAAGAAGGATCACAGATTGATTGATTGATTTTTTGGTAGAGACAGGGTCTCACTATGTTACCAGGCTGGTCTCAAACTCCTGGGCTCAAATGATCCTCCCACCTTGGCCTCCCAAAGTGCTGGGATTACAGGCATGAACCACCATGCCAGGACAGATATAATTTTAGATGACACTAATCTAATCCAAGCCTCTTTCAAAGTCACTATAAATTTAAAGGAGAAGCCTAGCTTCCTCTTAAATGCAAATTCAGTTAGAACAAATCCAAATGGTGGCTTTAAAAGGAACCATGCTGAATATAAGATCTCAGATTTCTTCTACATAAACATATCATTTATTTATCCCTAGTCCGCACTTTTTAAATAATCTAGGAAGGCAAACAAAGAACTTGATTGTACCATGTTTCTTCAAGTCAACAAGGACAAAGGACAAATTGCACAACCAGCAGCAGATGTCAAGTTTGCAGACAAATGCAAAAAATATATTATAAATTAACTCCATACAAATGTATTACGACTCATAAGGCTGAATTGTCAACATACATACTCAATTTAGTATTCCCAGTGACAAGAAACTAAGCATGTTATTGAAAAAAACATTGGCCAGATGACTATTAAATCCAGGTAGAAGAAAAGTCTGTATCTGTGAATTAAACTTTGTATTATAACAAATCTACTGGGAACTAAGAGAAAAAAAGAACTATAAAATGTCCTTTGACCAAGTAATTCCATTTCTGAAAAAAATTTCCAAATTAAAACAAATAATAAGCTGCAGATATTCATGACAATACCAGAGTGAAAAGCTAACACCCCCTTAAATTGCCACCAAGTGAAAATCATTCGTGTGAAATGAAAAAAATTTAGTGAAAACATTTTTTTCTTTCAAAAGAAGAAGTCATGATTGTATTTAAAGTAGATCCATAAATAAGTATTCTGCAATCGCTGACACACTAGAGGCAAAGAGCAAAGTTCAGTTCTATAGCTCATTTTAAAATATATTTCTTTTTTTTTTTTTTTTGAGTTGGAGTCTCACTCAGTCGCCCAGACTGGAGTGCAGTGGCCGCTTCCGGCCACCGCAGCCTCGACCTGCTGGGCCCCGGCCATCCTTC